TCGATCCCCTTCTTGTGATGCTATTTTCTGTGCACCTGGTAATGCGGGAATTTCCAGCTCAGGAGATGCAACTTGCATAGAAGACCTCGATGTTTTAGATAGTTCAGCTGTGATTGCTTTTTGTCGTAAATGGGGAGTTGGGCTGGTTGTTGTGGGACCAGAGGCTCCGCTTGTTGCAGGTCTTGCTAATGACCTTGTTAAGGAAGGAATTCCTACTTTTGGCCCCTCTTCAGAAGCAGCTGCTTTAGAAGGTTCTAAGAACTTCATGAAGAGTTTATGTGATAAATATCGAATTCCAACTGCAAAGGTTTGCGTCTTGTATCCAGTTATATTTACTTGTTTTTTTTTCTCTCTTAATAAAACTCTTTGTTATGATACTTGGCTTTTCTAGTTATTTGGTTCATTTCATCTCTTGGCTATCTGCAGTATCAAGCGTTTACAGATCCATCCGCTGCAAAAAAGTACATCAAACGGGAAGGTGCCCCCATTGTTGTTAAAGCGGATGGATTGGCTGCTGGTAAAGGAGTTATTGTTGCCATGTCATTGGAGCAAGCATACGAGGCTGTTGATTCTATGCTTGTAGAAAATGTTTTTGGTTCTGCTGGTTCTCGTGTCATTGTAGAAGAATATCTGGAAGGAGAGGAAGCATCATTTTTTGCCTTGGTAGATGGTGTGCATGCGATACCTGTAGAATCTGCTCAAGACCACAAACGAGTTGGGGATGGTGATACAGGACCAAATACTGGTGGGATGGGGGCATATTCACCGGCTCCTGTCTTGACAAAAGAACTGCAATCAGTGGTCATGGAGTCTATAATTCTCCCTACAGTGTAGGGAATGGCTGAAGAAGGCTGCAAGTTTGTTGGGGTTCTGTATGCAGGGCTCATGATAGAGAAGAAATCTGGTTTACCAAAGTTAATTGAGTACAACGTGCGCTTTGGAGATCCAGAATGCCAGGTTAGTTGGATTTGCTTGCCACTTGCAACCAAACTTTCTGTTTGCATTTTGAAATTTGTGTTAGTACCATAGATCTTAGTTTCAAATTACGCTTGGGAAGCATTTGTCCTGCGCTATTTCACTTTGATATAGTATGAATATGTTGTGTGGGACACACTACTTTCTATTGATCACCCAGTATGGTATTTGCTAAGTAGATGTGGAGTTAGTCTTTCAGCATCAATGGAGTTATTACTGTGGTATCCTACAAGCGAAGAATTCCGTTAAATTGGTTCAAAATCATCTTTTTGCGTGGAACACTGATTGGTTTTGGGGTGGGATCTTTGGTGGTGTTATTGCTAGATAAGCTCCTTAGCTTCTGATTCCTGAACTTGAAAAATCTCATTTGTGATATGATTCATAGATCTGTTGGCATTCTTATTCTGGATAACAGGTTCCTATTGCGCCTACTTTCATGGTCCTCTTTCAATTTGTTGGAATAGTACTTTCAACCTATTCACAATAGAACACCTGTCCTAGGGTGTTGAGTTCCATCACTTTTTTATTGATGTGTGATAACCAAAATGCCATCTTTTGACTACATACTTATTTACAAGACAGCCATCTTTTGACTACATACTTATTTACAAGACAGCCATCTTTTGACTACATACTTATTCACAAGACAATCTTAAAGTATAGAATTAGCTTACTGTGGACCCTCATTTTCCTAGTTAATGGCATCTAGGGATGCAATTTGAGTGGTTGTATAGGGGTTCAAGTCAAGTGAACTTTGTTTGAACCTTTTTGGGTAATTAGTAACTCCAAATAGTTACTGATATTTCTCATGTATACTAGGATGCGAATCAAGTATTTCGTTTAAGATAGGTGATTGGAGACCCTCATTTGTTCCAAATTGCGGGAATATCTCTGTAGTGTTCAAAATATTAATGGATGGTTTTGTGCTTACTTGGGTTTGCCAATGTGGTCTATTCTAGAGCAACAATGGTTGAGTTAGTCAGTCTTTTGTGTTGTTTCCTATGCTTTGCTTATTTCATGAAAGCAGAATTGTAGGGAAGGGCAATTCTTGGTCACAGAAAGAGCAGAAGTTTGACGTGGTGTACATTTCATCTTTTATTGTTCGTCTACCCTACTCAACTATAGCTGGCAAATTTTTCTGGTTGCTTCGGAGGTTTTACATGGAAAATGATTCGAAGCATGTAAGGGAAATAGGAGTGGGGTCTGATTGTGCTTAATGTAAATACCCTGTCCCATGATGTTGTTTTAAACTCTTTTCCTACGCTTTCAGGTGTTGATGGTCCGGTTAGAGTCTGATTTGGTCAAAGTTCTGCTAGCAGCTTGTCGTGGGGAGCTACATGGGGTGTCTTTGGACTGGTCCCCTGGGTCAGCCATGGTGGTTGTACTGGCAAGTAAAGGCTACCCCAGCAGCTACCAGAAAGGAACAATCATTCATAAGCTCGAGGAAGCAGAGCAGGTTTCTCCATCAGTCAAAGTATTTCACGCTGGGACTGCTTTTGATGCGGATGGAAATTTCATAGCTACTGGGGGACGCGTCCTTGGAGTCACAGCGACAGGGGAGGATCTTGAAAAGGCCCGGGATAGAGCCTACCAAGCCGTTGAACAAATTAGCTGGCCTGGAGGTTTTTATAGACGAGATATTGGTTGGAGAGCACTACCTCATAAACAATATTCTTAGGGATGAACTCCTACAATTGTACGTTACATATGGAGGGAGCATAATAACATTTTTGGAGCGTGATATGGATATCAGCTTGTTGATCGTATCATACAACTCATCTGGTGTGGTGTTTGATGCGACTGAAGTATCGATAATGGAGCCATCCAATGTTAGACGAAATGAAAGGATCCAGGAATAGATAGAAAACCTTGAATTAAGAATAGAACACTTCAACCATAAGAAGTGTTTTTGTGCCTATAATGGGCCTCATTGTTTCTGGTTAAAAGGCTCCATAATCATGATTGTATAATAAGTGTTTATTTTTTCCCTGGAATGAGTATGACTAGCTGCAGTGTGTTATATGCACATCTGATTTTGTAACTTATGAATTCAGTTGGGTCGCTGTACTTGGGTAAATCCACACACGCATCAGCTGAAGCTTTGTGATTTTGTAAGCGCAGAAGTTTTGCTAATTTCTCTCGGCAATGACCACTTTGTATTTAGGAGTCATGCACCTGCTCCAGTTTTCGGACTTAATTCTTTGACTACTGGTTAGGTGAAAGGTGAACCCAATGAGTCATATATCTGGTCGAGATGTTATCGTGCCCCTGAACCCATATTTGGAATATACAACAGCTATTGATATTTGGTCTACAGGTTGTGTGATGGCTGAGTTACTTCTTGGACAGGTATACCCTGTCTTAATGTTTTTGCGCTATTCTTGGTCATGTGTCGTATTACTTGTTTTAAAACTCTTCCGACGAATCCTTTCGGTGGTGGACAGCCATTGTTTCCTGGAGAGAGTGGGGTTGACCAATTAGTAAAGATTATAAAGGTGAATTTTAGAAACTTTTTTGTTCTTGATATTATCTTCTCAAAAGATACTAGCTGATTTTCTTTCCTTTACAATTCAGTTGGACCTTTTTGCCTCAGTAAATAAGAGAGCATGTTAATACAATATGGCTTTAAGAGTTCGCCAATTTCTGCACAGTATGATCAGACTTATAATGCATATGTGATATTGGTACCTTATGTGTATACCAAAAGTATCCACTTCTCTTAGGGCAATAAATATGAAGAAGCAAAGATCTCGTACTCTGCGTGTGTTGTTTGTACAACTTGCACTCATTTGCTTTTGTTCTATATTAGATATCGTTTGCTTCTATACTAGATATCGTTCCTCGAGTCTATCAAGTGTCACTCGTCCACTTTTTAACTTTTGAAATGCTTGCCTAGTTTTAGGGTTTTTTGTTGACGAACACATTAATTCATGTCTGATGTTGTCGTGCATGTTAAAGTGCTGCTTTCTGTTTCCCCTGGAAGAGAGTGGAGGGAGGGGGGTTGGATTCCTCTTTGTGTATACTCTCGTCCAGTCCCAGTCTGGCTCCGAACTGTTGGTACTCGCCAGGGATTCTTAAGAAATTAATCCAATTAACAAAGCCATTGATGATTAAACAAACAATAAGCAACGCCAGCAAAATCTAAACAGAGCTAAAGCAAGTATGCTCGAAGATGCAGGTTAGAATAACCAGGAATGACATAGAGCCTGTGGAGCTTTTTACCGTCACGTACGAAAAGGCCTTTAAAGTTAAATTACCTTTGCAGAGAAAACTACAGATAGTACATTAATATACCCTGTTGAAAGCAATAGGCAAGGTTTCAAAATCTCAAGTGGACCAAACTATTTTCTGAGATAGTGAGCAAAGGTGTGCTTGAAGAGATTTGTACTCGTAATCACGAAAAGGTATTGTAAACATGTTGTCAAAGAGATCTGTTGCAAGTGAAGAACGGGTAGAGAACCTCGATGCAGTGGAGTGAGATCGATAAAGAACTGAGCCATGGTAGCTGAGAACATAAGTGAAGGGTCCAACAAAGTTGATGGAAATAACCCCGATCCTAAACCATGAGCTAAAAGTAGCAGATGAAGGGAACAAAGGGAAACCCAGGGATGTACTATACACATGCTAATTGGAGTAACGGATAAATGACATTCCAGGTTCTGATATCAAAACCCATCAAAGCTTATAGTTCTAAGAAGCTGAACCACATAACAAGTAGCAGGTTTTAAAACATCTTAGCATAAAAGGAAATCTGGTCATGACATACAGACAACTAACGAGGGTGCCTTGAATATGCTGCTACAAAACTTGCTTGATCAGCTAATGAGGGTAAAAACACTTCACAGAAGATGACTCAACCTGAAGCACCAGATCATTCAATTTAGCCATTTCCCAGAACACTGTTTTAAGAATATTAGCAAAACAATGACCCTATCATCATGAATCCTGATACTCCCTTAAAGCCAAATCTGAAATATGAGCGAAGCCAAAGATACCACATAATAAATGTAATATTACTTCATAAGTTAATGCCATGGATGCTTAATTTAACATAAAAAAAATTAGCACTTCAGTTGAAAAAACTACTATCAAACGCTCAATAATGTTACAAAAGAAAAGCACGCAAACCAAGTAAAAATGTTGTCTGGGATGAGTTCATGTTGAATAAAATGGAACCACCAGACACAGTCCTGCAAATTACATGACTCTTTTCCGAATCCTCAAAATGATCAACCAGCAGTTCAACCAAATAAAGCATCATATGTAGTATAAACTTGATTAAAAAAAAATCAGCCACATCATATGTACAAACATATCACCTGAAATAAGCAATTAAGTTCCAGCAGTGGGCAGTGCTGCCATGAAAGAATTGTATGATGATTCAAGATCGAAGTGGAGTTGACGAGCCTGCTGTTCTGTCAACTCATCTGCAGCTCCCATTTTTGATAGCCTTGAGAGCCACTCTCTCATTTTTGTCTTCCCCTCAAAATCAGCTGGTAGAATTGAAAGTTTATTAAGGGAAGATGATAGATCCGACAATAGGGGATGGACCTGGTCAACAGCAACCATATTCAGCTTCAAAGAGTCCATAGCAGTGATGAAGTTCTGCACACATTCAGCCACAACAGCAGCTGAGGTTGTAGCTGACATTGCAGCGGCGGCTCTGTGCTCCACAGTGGCGGGCACCCCAGAGGTCACAAGCCGGTTTAGGGCTGCAGGGCAATCCATTTTGTAGGTGTCATGAAATCGCTCAATGCTAGGTACAGTATCTTTCAATGTGGAAGATAATGTCTTGAAATGAGCAATCAATTTCTGGCATTCAGTTTCGTATTCTGCAGGTGAGATGATGTCACGAACATAAGCCTTCTCGAGCTTTTCGGTTGCCTTTATTATAGCAAAGAGCTCGGCAAAGTTGTCATACATTTCTCTTTCCCGCTTATCATTCCATAGCTTAACCTCCATTAGAGTTGGCGAGACTATTTTGACCTTTGTCAAAAGGGTTGGAGAAGAGGATGGGACACGCGCAAAGATGCTACTCTTTGTCACTGCATGATCATGCGCAAATGTTACAATTTGTCAATATAAAACTAACAAATCTTTAAATTACACTGACCAGGCTTATAGACTCTACCTTCATACAGATATTTGGAAATATAAATTTCCACATGGAGCTATAGTGCATACCCATATCATTTAATTGAAAAGTGCACAAAGTTCAAAGAACAGCAACATAAAGAATTTCCCTTTAAATGCCAAAGCTAAAAAATAAATTTATCAGTTTTTAAAAGCAAAATGAACAAAGATCACCATTGACAGGTGAAATTCACCAGGTCAACAGACATCCTAGACGATATATTTAGGATCTCAATATTCTGAAACCAACAACAACGACCCAGTAAAATCCTACAAGTGGGGTCTGGGGAGGCAAATCTTACCCCTACCCCGAAGGAGTAGAGAGGTTGTTCCCGAAAGACCCGAAGCTCACAAGAAGGAAAAGACGAGAAGAGAAGGGAAGGATCTCAATATTCTGAAATGGAGACAAATAATGTTATCATCCCAGAAATGGGTGGTTGACAGCAATCTCCCAAGCAATAGATATTACATAATTCTTTTTGAAACAGAAAGACCACAATAGATATTACATATTTCTCCTATACTTTCTAGTCCCAAAGTTCTCTTAAGTTTTCTTTTTTAATCTAAAAAGTTATGGATCAAGAATCAATCATAACTGATCCGAAAAGTTAACTTAAGTTTGATTAAAAATGCAGAAAGTGAAAATAGGGGTGTTAAAATGACATGAATTTATCTCTATTGATGAGAAAGGGAAGAAATTTATCTCTACTGATGACAATGAGAAGAACGAGAGAATGGTAAGAGAAAAAAAACTAAGAAATCGAGAGAAAGAAGAATAGGAGAGAAAGACAGAAAAGATAAGATAGAAAAAGAGAGGGGAGTAAGAAGGAGGAAGGGAGACAGAAGAAGGGGATAGATACAGATAAATTGTTATATCAAATTTGTTTCAGCCAAATAAAATACACAGGGTTGGGGTTGGAGGGTAGCTCATATGGTACGAGCCCCTCATCCTTCACCCCTCTCCTCTCCCCTCTCCCCTCTCCCTAATAGTAATAGAGAAAGAAAAAAATACACAAGGGTGGGTTGGAGGGTATCTCACATGGTGTGAGCCCCTCATCCTTCACACCTCAAACCCCGCCTATGTAATAT